AGTGGTTGTACCATTTTACACTCCCACCAACAGTGAATACAGGTTCTAGTTTCTCTACAACCTCGCTAGCATTTGATGTTTGCTGTTCTGTTAAATTTTGCTGTTCTGACTGGGGTGAGATGATATGTCATAGTTGTTTTGCCCCCTGAACTTTTGCATCTGCTATTTTTCTCTTTGGGGAGAAGCCCTAGCTCTTTTTCATCATCAAGGTCTCAGCTGGATCATAACCTACTCAGAGAGGCCTCTCCTGACCTGCCTATCTGAATTGATTTCCAACTCTCTTCTCTCACATTGTGTTTTATTTTCTTTGTCGCCCTTCTCACTGACACCATGTGTTTGCATGTTAATTATCTCTGTCCTCTGAGAGCAGAGCAAAGCAGAGCAGGAACCTTATCTTAGTCCCTAGTTTGTTCTCTGTGCATGAAGCAGAACTGGCTAATTGTGGGAATACAGTACTTGAAGGCTGTGTGCCTGCACCTGAACTGGCGAGAGTGAGCAGAGAACGTAATAGGGCCTGCGTAGGGCCTGGCCTGCACTCAGCACATGGTGCATGATTATTCCTGCTCTTGAGGATCCCACAGCAAAGCCTAGAAGAGAGCTCTGCGCTGAGTACGGAGTGATCTGTTTGAGCCCTTTGCACCTGGGGACAAAAATCAAGAACATTCACTTGGCTGGAAGGTGATATGTAGAGTGAAATGGACATGAAGAAGAAAGTGCTTGTGTTGGGCTCTAAGATTTTGTTTAGAGTTGGAGATGGCCCTAGGATTCAGACATACTTGGGATCAGTGAAGGGACTGTAGTAATATGAAAGCTTGGTAGTTTGAACCTGTCAACTTCTCAATGGGAGAAAAATATGACAGGCTGCTTCTGTAAAGCCTTAGAAACCCTATAGGGCAGTTCTACATTGTCCTTTAGGGTCAGCTTGATGGCACTGGGTTTGTACAGTGTGTAGTGTGGAGAGGCGTGCTGATGATGGGCCTGGCCCAGTTGTGAGTACTGGACTTAGGGGATCTTTTAGTGTAGATTTCCCTCTAAGTGCCAGCTGGCAAGTGCTTTCTTAGTTATCTAGGGCTGCTAAAACTGAGATGCCATTTTAACAAGGTGAAATGCATGCTCTTCCAGTTTAGTCGGCTTGAAGTCCACGTTCAGTATGCCGGCTCTCGGGAGAGACCTCCTATCTGC